AGTCAAGGTATAAGAAAATGATTTGACATATACTGAGGTCTGTATTTAATAAGTTGTTTTCAGTACCTTATTTTTATTGACAAGCTGGTCTACAGAGTATCTGACCTCTCCTGCATAATGCTGAACAACAAAACTAGGATCAGAGGAGAATTTACTAGGTTTCTTTATAACAGGTGCTTGTTTATTACCACCAATATCTAATATACGTTCTGTTAGTATCTTTATATTACACTTCCTATTTAAATATACTTCCTAGAAAATAAAATATATAAGCTGTCATAAAATCTATGAACAATAAGTGGCTAGTAACCAGCGTCTGGTTTCTCACAATGCCATAGGGTTTGTTCATACTGAGAGCAGAGCGGGGCAGGATTTAACTAAAGATTAATGCTGCTACTTACCACTCTGCTCTGGCCGTCCTGCTCTGCATGTAGAGTGAACAAATGCTTATGAACAAGTTCTTTGTAAGTTTGGTTTTTCTCAATATAAAATTCAAAACCATTTTTAAGGCTGCATCCTTAGTATGAATGGAATAGGGCCAGGGCTGCATCAATGAAGTTTTCATAGTAAAGACATAAAAAAGTTCATGAAATATGAAAAAATGTTGTCATACCTCATTGAGAAGACCGAAGATACTATGTGTACCCTCTAGAGTATCTAAACAATGTTGATTATCAGTATAGTTTATATTACTCCATTCTATTCTTTCTATCTCATATTCTTTCTGAAAACAACAGTTTATTACATTGTATAACATTGGTCAGAACCTGATTAAATAGGCAACACTATGAAGTGTGCAATGAAAGTAATTTGAAGCACACAGGAACATGTTTCATCTTTCAATCTGAATGGTTGTTTCTCTAATGTAGATAGGCAATGCCATGAAGTGTGCAATGTATTCACATTGAATTGGGAACTTGTTAATATGTGGATTGGTGTTTTTCTGTACCATAGTTTTAATCATAGAAAATATTGAAGATAGTATAATGAGATCAAAGCCTTCAACCGTGTTTCCCAATGTCATAAAACTGATTTTGATTGTAAAACCCTTGACCATTTAGATGACTGAAGCACTAAACACTTTTCAAACATGTGACGAATTACGCAAAATATACTGTCAAAGATATGACTTATTTGTTATTTCTTCCAAGAGTATTTTAACAAGATTAGAGACAAGAGGTGTAAAAAGATGCTAAAATACCTGTAAATCTTTCATAAAATGTGAAACATAAAGTTGTTGTATTTTTTCATTGGCGTAATTAATACACAGTTGTTCTAGACTGTTACTTTCAAATATTTCAAAACCATATATATCTAACAATCCTAGAGATATAATAAACATTGTTTAATACTATATATATCTAACAAACCTAGAGATATAATAAATAAAAACAAGTGATAAATAATAATAAAAACAAGTGATAAATAATAATAAAAACAAGTGATAAATAATAATAAAAACAGGTGATAAATAATAAAAAAAACAAGTGATAAATAATAATAAAAACAAGTGATAAATAATAATAAAAACAAGTGATAAATAATAATAAAAACAAGTGATAAATAATGATAAAAACAGGTGATAAATAATAATAAAAACAGGTGATAAATAATAAAAAAATCAAGTGATAAATAATAATAAAAACAGGTAATAAATAATAATAAAAACAAGAGATAAATAATAATAAAAACAAGTGATAAATAATGATAAAAACAGGTGATAAATAATAATAAAAACAGGTTATAAATAATAAATAAAAACAAGTGATAAATAATAATAAAAACAAGTGATAAATAATAATAAAAACAGGTGATAAATAATGATAAAAACAGGTGATAAATAATAATAAAAACAAGTGATAAATAATAAATAAAAACAAGTGATAAATAATAAAAAATTAACAGTAAAGCAAAAGTAAAATCAATGATCAATTGTGTTTGATACAAACGTTCAAATCATATAAACATCAATGATCTCTTTCTTGACGTCTTCTCAGTGTTAATGTTATTACCATTTCATGTTTTAACTCTGTTAATCTCTATTAGTCTTAGTTGTTATATATTCTGTTATCTTTTATTCTCTCATTATTTCATCTGATGGCAACACATGTAATTTACGTTATATTATGTGTTTAATATATTATTAAAGAAGTGTGTTTTATTATATAATATTGTCTTGTGTTTGTGATATATACTCCTCACTTCTATATATGGTGTTAGTCTTATAAATAATCTATAATATTCAGGTAGGTAATACAATAAGAGATACCATGTGTATTTTGTTACAGGAAAATTTATAAATGACTATTCCCCTCAGATTAAGAGAAGTATATCTTACCTATAGTACTGTAAAACTCTTCAGATTCTATAACATTATTTATATAACTAACAATCCACTCAAATAATCTACAATTAATAGACAATACATTAAATAAATAAGAACACTATTATGGATAAACAACTCCTAATGTCATTTAACGATTATTAACAATATATGTATATCAATTTGGGTATTGTTATATTAATTAATAGTGTAAATACACTTCAATGGTCTGTTTTAAGTAGAATTGCAGAAGAGTCTTTCATGAAATTTCAAATCTGATAAAGGTGTGGGCACACAAGTGGTCTTGGTTGGAGATTTTTGTTGCTGATTATTAAGTTTTGATTTAAATCATCATTATCCAATCAGATTCATTTTCCTTTCAAGTGCATGTCCTACAAGTGATTATAGACAAGGTGTAAACCGACCGGCTAAAGATTTTTGTCTCCTCGTGTGCCGGTGCAAGTTGGCAAAACTTCTTACAAGACTTAAGTCAGCAACAACCCAAGACTGCTTGTGTACCCACACCTTAAGTGATCAAGTATCTAATTTGAGCTGTATAGGCTAATAAAGGAT